CACTCTGTGAATACATTATCTTGCAATGTTGGTTTATTCCAACCAAAGACATTTCAAGTGCCTGTAATTGATTTGTACATATTTATAAAGGTATATTCAGAATAGGTGGGATGATGCACTTGTTCCGCATTGTAGTGCGGCCGGAAACGTTCAGTCTTTACCTGTGGACATAGCCGAATGTTTGTGTAGATATCTTTAGTGATATGGCTACATACAGTCAGAGCAAGATATTTTTGTCTAGCTGCATCTGGGCAGGTTAAGATGCCTTTGCAAGTGTCTCAAACAAACCAACGGATCTTTGGTTTTTTTGCCCAATGATATGTACAGTGTGTTTGAAACAAGTATGCACCTTTGATAGAATACTGCATTTCCAGTGCCACCAATCTACTACATGTGTTTGTGTGGCCTAATACTTTCTTCCGTTTGCTCTTTGCTTGCAAGAAAAGATATCAAGGTTTTAGATACTTTTTCTTTTGGGAAAAACAAAGAAATACATATTCACATTTTAATAGTGCTGTATTTAGGACAAACTTGTGCTTTTATTCATAGTAAAAAGAAAAAAAAAGAAGTGAAGTCCCATTTTAAAATGTTTCTTACTGGAAAGTATGAAGTCTGATTATTTTGGTCTTTTTCTTTGTCATTCTTTTTGTTTCATTTGGCTTGCTGAATGCCAGAGAACCGGTCAGCATTGAGACTACCTGGAAGGCTTTCCACTTGAGCTCCCATCCGTAGCCCTCAAACCAGGATTGGGTGTCTCTGCTGCAGAGCAGCTTTCTGTAACCTCTTGGTTTTCTTCCTAGAAAGTGGAAAGCTAATAAAAAGGTGCATTGTTTGAACAGTCTGCTGGGGCTCTGCACAGCTTTGGGCAAGTGCAAATAATGAAAGAATAAGAAATCCCATAGTCTGTTACAAAGCTTCACTTTGGGACTCTCCAGCCATCTCTGAAGGGCAGCTGAAACTGACACTTTCATTAGCTTTGTCCCACTTCCATGTAATGCTGTCCACTCAGGGGAGAAGGACAGACAAGGAGAAGAGCAGGGCTGTTGTGATTAAGGTCACAGAAACCACATGGTAAAACACATACTGTTCTCTGTGTCCATTCTTAAGTTAGGTCTTTTATTCCATGCATTTCTCCCTTTCCCATTCTGGCTTTTGCTGTTTCATTCTGGCACCTGATTGAGCAGCTTCCTTAAGTTTTTCCTGCAGTCATTTCTACCACTGCTTTTACAATCTCACTGGTTGCCTTAATTGACCTTTCATCTTGTCTTTCAGCTTTCTTGTCAGGTAGTATAACTGTAGGTCTGCATACATACACAGAGGCTTTTTTTCCCTCCTCCTTTTGCTCTGAACTACACAAAAGAAGAAATCCAAGTCAGATATCTCAGAGTCTCAGTTATGCTGGCATAAGATTCTTGGTTTACACTCTGTAGTCACTATTTAATGGTAGCCTGCTGGTCTGTATGTGTGGGACTTCAGTCACTTCACCAGTCTTTAGAGCATTTGAAGCAAAATAGTCACACTTTTCTTCAGAACATTGTTCCTTTATAGAATTCCAGTTACTTAAGTGGTATTAACTAACGTGTTTTCCTCCAGGGACGTTAAGGCAAAGCTTTAGAGATGGCCTAGTTTGAAGTCTAGGGATAAAATGAAGCTTCCAGTTTTCTCCTGATGCTGCTATGGGCTCACACTGCTTCGCTGAAATGAATCCATGAAGTCAAACAAGGTAGATGGCTTCTCATGGAAACTGTCCAAGCTGTTCCTTATCACACACCCCCAGCCTTCTGCATCAATCCTGACTTGGAGAGTTGCCTATGAGGGTGGCTTGATCTGGGGACCAAAGGCAGGAATAGGAAATGGATTGGGGTGGTGGTGCAAATAGAAAACACTCAACATAACTCCTTTCAAATAGCAGAGCCAAGTGCTTTCTGTTTCAGCAAATTTAAAATCAAACTCCAAATGTTCAAACTGGAATTTGGTCTGTTGGGGAAAGCAGATTTATTGGGCTTTTTTAGATCTGTTCTTTGCTCTTGGGTAACTAAAGGAACCTGCTTTGTAACTGAGCACCCACTACACTGAAGCACCCAGAAATACTCAGATTGTGACCCTCAACCACAAAAGGGAAAACCTTAAGAGTTGTGGGTTTTGGCCTTAGTTCACCCCTTTGCACCCCTGTATTGCAGCAGAGAGGGTGTCCATCAGGCTGAAATGCTGCAATACTCAGGAATACTGGATTGTTCCTAGGCGCAATATACGAAAGTTAAATGCAGCCAAACAGAAGAGTAAAAACTTAATGTTAAAGTTCAGATCATATTGATCTTTCCTTTTTTGTTTTGTTTTCTTTTTCTTTTGAACTATGACTTGAATCAGTTTTGATTCTATTTGTACGTGTTTTCTTGTTCTTAGAAAGCTGCCATTTTCTTTTGCATTTTCCTTTGGCATTACATAGAAAATCTGAGCCTTGGTTTTCAACCCTCTGCAGGTGATTGTAGGGTTAAGATGGCTGTTTTGGTTTTGTTCTTACATTTCACTTGTCTTGTTGCATGACAGTTAATAGCTGATTTGGAAATGACATTTCTCTCCTAGATTAATTTTGTGTTTGTAAGATGTGCATATTGCTTTGCAGAATAAAAACGATGAAGTTTATTCTCTTGTCTTTTATTTCTACTGCCCAGTTGCTGTGGAGATGGTGTAAATCACCTGTGTTATATGGACCACTGGAGGAAATTAGTAGTGAAAGTCTGCAACAGAGGGGAATTTCAAACCCTTTGGTGCAATGAGCACTTCATGTAGACTTGTTTTGTCTTTTACATACTATGATGTAGGTGTCCATCCTTAGAAAAGCAGGCTTTCTGACCCAGCCCCATCTCGCCTCTGGCTTCTCCTTGATGATGACTCACTACAAGCGCTGTGTAACTTACTCAGCTGAACCAAGACCACATGTTGGGTGTTTCAAAGTGCCTGGAGGTGACTGGAGATGGTTGGAAGAGTTCTGTGGGTGCCTGTTGAAGATAAAGTAACTCATTAAATTCTAGCTTCAGTTACTGTGCAGCTGGAGGAAGCTGCACCTGTGTGTTTTCGGTGCTTGAGAGGGTAGGAACATGCTTTGTTTTGCTCTTGGAAGCTGGTTAAAAGCTGGGCTCTGTGTATGTGACAAGTGCAAGGCAGCCAGCCTGTCTTCCCTATGTGCAAAACAGAGTTCAGAGCATCCAAATGGTGCCTACTCACGCGTGGTGGTTGAATGAGAGCTTTGTTTAAGAGCAAATCTCATTTGTAAGTTTTACTTGGAAGAGGGACTGAGAATTAGTAGAAAAAAGTGATTTTAATAGACCATTTTTTATGCAATCCCTTGGTGTGGCTGTAGGAAACCTGGTTGGGAAGTGTCTGCCCAGAACAAGCATTGATGCCCTATGTTAGCATGGTCTGAGCTTGGAGTGAGGCTGTTACTACTTCACTTAGCACAGCAGCCATTGGCCTCCACTGAATCCTGTCCCTTGGCCAGCAAAGAGGAAGAGAAAAGCAGTCGGACACGTACCCACTTGTTTGTTAAACAACCTCTCTTTCATAACTCAAGCAGCCACTATTTGGCAAGTGCACAGCTTTGTTCAATGGCTTAGAGAAGTGCCACTTCCTTGAAGAAAATCCTGGTTTCAGAGCTCTTGCTGCATAGTTACACTTGAGTAAACTTAGAGGAGGATCTACACTGAGTTCCCACTGGGAAAGAAGTCCTTGGCAAATCAGTGTGTGGTTGAATTCACTTTGATATTTCCCAACCTTTTTACATAGGGAAAAGTCTTGCTGTAATTTAATGCTTTAAATCAGGTTCTTTCAAGGCTCAGGAGAGCATGAGCAGCTTAAAACTGGGTGTCTTACACAGGTGGTATAATGAAGGGGGAGAAAAGGCTGTTCTGCTGCTAATTCCAGGTGCTGGCAGGTTGGAAGGGTGGGGTGAGGAGAAGGGATTCATTTGATAACCCTGTAATCAGGCTGTTTGCTCATAACTCTGGTGTTCGTTAAGCAACTGAAGTGAGGGCAGTGAAAAATGATGTCAAGCTTGCTCATCTGAAAGAAACCCAAGTGTGGGGTGTTTGCAGTCAGGTTACAGCCATCAGTGGTAGCAGCCTGCTGCAGGTCAGGAGGAGCAGCACCTTCTGCCATCAGCAGTGGCTTCTCTAATGAGGTGCTTTGTGCCAAATACTTTGGTACTAGATGGAAATCTTGCTGAAGATGAGGAGCAGCAGCATCTTCCTCACAGCAGCACCTTCTCCCTGTGAGCACATTGAGCCACCTTCTTATAATGCCCTTTCAAAGAAACATTCTCAAGCTGAAGTTCATATGAAGCTGCACACACAAAGGCTCCTCTGAGGTATCCATTAAATGGGTATCCTTCCTGTTTGCTTTTGCCAGCTCTGGGGACTGACCTTGAGGTGTCTTAACCCCAGGTTGAAAACAGCTCCACTAAATAAATAGCAGCTGTGCTGAGAAGTGAAGTGCAAGGCTTTTAGGAGATCAAGGTTCCTCCTTGGGTGACTTGGGCTTCCTTTGTGTTTGTAGGTCTCTGTTTCTCCTTTATAAAGGGCTTTTACAGCTCTATGACCTTTATTGATAGAAGTAGTTTATCCTGTGGCTAGAAAACACATCCCATCGACCATGCTGCTGCAGGGAGGAAGCTGGCTGCTAACCTACCAGGCCACCCAGCAGAACCAGTAGTTCCTATTTACCTGCTGGAGGTGTTTCTTTACAGGATGTTCAAGAAACAGTTGGGGCCTAAGCAGAGATTTCCTTGTGCTTTCTTTATTGTCAGCTCCTCAAAACATGGCTCTTGCGCCCTGATGAAATAAATAGAATCCCAGACTGGTTTTGGGTGGAAGGGACCTTAAAGCTCATCCATCTATCCTTTAAAAAGATCTCTTCTGGTAATGGTCTCTATCTTCTATCAAGAAGAGGTGCTACAGCAATATCTTCTGGAAGG